GCTATTTTCCATAGAAACAACCATAACAAATAGAACAGTTATGTTATGACAATCAGGAACAGGACGAATCCAATAGTGTCTGTTATCGTTGGGGTCAATTAGGTACCTAGTTAACAGACGGTATTCTTCCTTTAACCATCAACCAGCCAGTGGAAGCTATTTGCATACAGACATGTACATGCATCCGCCTGCTCCCACCGTCCACAACTGGCTGTGCCGTGCAGGTGTTTCGATCGCGAGGGGAGGCTTCCGGTTTCTCGGGACAAAGTAAAGTACCTTTTATCTTACCTTGCCCTACGTGTAGGCCGGCGTGTTACCCGCAGGTCAGCCACAGGCACAGCACCGGCAGCGCGTGGGCACAACATCACGGCATGACGCCGCATCGCGTGTCTCGCCAGGAACCTAGTGACACAGCACACACAGCACGCGGCAGGGCTGCTAAGTCTCTCAGTTTCTTTCAAGGCCAGGAGCCCAAAAAAAAAACAAAAAAAAAAACTCCGCAACACCAATTCGCATGTGTGCGCTATTTGTTCAACCACATACATACATGTCTAGATGTACACGAAGCAAAGGCTCTCTCTCTCCAAAGCCAGATTCCACCCAACTCCCCTAAAAGTACCAACTCCAAAACCTGTTCACCCATTTACATTGCATTTTTGTCGCCTCTCTCCCAAACGAGTAAAATGAAATGCCAAAAATATACCAAACAAGCAAATCCTCCCAGTTATCTCGTGCGCCCCTTTTCGCCAACCCCTCCCTCCTTCCCATGGGCGATTCCCGGATGCCCTTCAAGCATAAAATATGTAAGAAACGAAGGGGGTATTAAACATACAAGGTGAACAGTTGGAAGCAAAAGAAGGGAAAAGATGAAGTCAGAAAAAACATTTGATACACATGGATACAGTAGTAGCATCCCTATCGTGGTATCGTTACGCCAGAATACTAGGTACCAGGCCGGACCTGCCCGCCTGTCTGTCTCACAACCGGTCCTTGGGATATTGCAACGGCCCCTAGGACTGGGCTGGCTGTTCGCGGAGCTCGTTCGAGTTGGGTCTGCTCTTGGCCAGCTCGGTCATGCTTTCGCTTTCGTAGCTGTACGCCTGGTTGCTGCTCTTGGAGCCATTCCGGCCGCCGCTCATCATCTGGAACGACCCGCCTACACGGCGGTCCTGCGACTTGGGGGCACGACGGATGCGGGCCGAGAGGAGGTCGTCAACTAGCATCTTGCACGCCTTCCACGACGTGACGCAGTAGATGATGGCGTTCCAGAAGCCCTGCAGCGGCAGCACAAAGGCGCTCATATACTCGAGCGGCAGCGAGGTGTCGTTGGTGTGCACCACCGAGTAGACCCGGTTCGCGCTCGACGGGATCCACGTCACGAGGAGCGCGGTGAAGAAGAGGAGTGCGCACTTGGTGTACGACCACGTGGCGTTGTTGGCCTCGTATGCAGCCCGGCGGCGGAGCGGGTTGGCAGCCGCGGCGATGCGCTGAGGCGTCCTGGTCTGCGGCTCGGCGGGCACGTTGCTCTGGATGGGCAGGACCACGTCGTTGTTGATCGACTCCCGTTCGACGGTCCGCCGGTTGGACGAGATGGTGACCGAGTATGCGGCATTCGGGGGCCTGGCGGGTGTCGAGGGCTCAGAGCCGCGGCGAGGAACGCGACTGAGCGGCGCGAGGTCGATGCCGTGTTTCTTGTCGAGGATCTCGGTCGTGACGAACACCTCGGTGGTCTTGCTTGAGCTGAACGGGTCGTCCATGGACGGCAGGGGCTCGGGTTCGTGCAGGCTGTAGCTAAACTCGCGCAACTGCTTGTGCTTCTTATAGATTTCGCGGCCGGCTCGAATGTAGATGAAAAAGGTGATGAGTATCACAATCCTGGGAGGAGGAGCGAAGTCAGTCCAAATATCCGTCTGACCATAAGGGAAAGTGGCAACCAACCAAACTGGGCCGTAGAACGTGGCAATGCGGAAAATATCCCACTTAGGGGCAACCCAGCACCATAATACCGCGTTTCCATACATTCGCCCTTTGGTGGGCGTGGTGACGAATACAAACGTCAAGGCGATGACAAAGGGTATCCCGTAGCAGAGGACGAGATAAGGGATCTCCATCCTCCGCAGCCTCTGGGCGTCAAACTTGAAGTAGAAGGTCAAGTAGACGTTCACAGCCATAGCCAACGTCCAAAAAGCGTCTGCAGGCATAAACCTGAAAAAGGAACATGTGTTGGTGAGCATGAGCCAAGAGAGCAGTCTGGCTGCGTTCAGACTCGGATTTCACTCACATCTGGATAAGAAATGCTTGGAACTGGCAGCCGGCCGAGCTGTTGTCGTTAATAAAGGACCGAGCCATGAGGGTTGCAACATTTGTCATGAGATTTCCGAAGGAAGCGTAGAAGACCAGGCGATTGATAGGTTTATGGAAGGCCTTGGACATGCAGAATGTCCCGATGATGACGACGCATCCCAGCAACGAGAACACGGAGCAGGTGCGCTCGATGATATTGAAAATGTCGAGCTGCGTAGAGTTCATTTTGGAAACTTTGGAACGTCACAAGACGCACTCAGGGCACAGTAGGTAGTCGAATTTGGTCAGGTCGACGGGACTAGTTGTGAAGAAGGCATGGGATCCGATTCTGGCAGTGAGCTTGGGTTATCCGAGTCTTAGCTATTCGCGGAAGGTGAGTAGGAAGTCGTAAGATTGGAACGAATCGTAAGAGAAACTGGCGCCGTCAAGTTGGCCCAGCCAGAAAGAAGGCAGCGATGAGGTAAGAGGGAGGAGAACAAGGCTTATAGAGCTCTCAAATAGGATTCAAGATTTTTGTCGAGTCCCACACACACTCTGGGGGAGCATGGAAACAAGCAGCCCTCTAGCCGACGTCCTCAAAGGTTTGGTTTGGCAGGTGCTTGGTCTTAAACAGAAAGCTTTGCTTGCAATCTATAGAAAGGCAGGTGGCGGATCGGCCCTGCCTTGCTATGACGAGGGCAGGCAGGGGGAGGGTCAAGTAGTCGTCCGGGAACAATGTCCGTACTACACCAAATGCTTTAACAGCCAGTTCGAGAAAGGATGAGTGGAAAGTAAAATTCACCCTGGGACCAGATGGGATGGCCATGCCGCATCATCCTTCCTTGTTGAGATCGTGAGGAGAGTGGGGCACTATTACGTCCTAGTACGTCCTTTTCCCAGAGAAGCAAATGGACGAGAGATTGTATGCAGCTCCTCACGGGATGGCATGCGGGATGTACCATGACCCAATACCAACACGAGCCCAGGACCGATATTTCTGAGAAGCACTGGCTCTTACTAGGCTTCTCTCTCCTGTGGTAGTAGGTCAGGCAGGTAAAGGTATCCTGTAAGGTGGGTGATGAGAGCCAGGGGAAGACGGGTGGGATACGCGCAACAAAACACTTGAACCGCAAAATGCCTTCCAACGGCAAAATGTCCGTGAGGTCCAAAGTGAAAAGAGCCTATAAGAGACGGAAATACGTGACGAAAAGCAGGGGGACACCGCCTGGGATTGGCTGAGAGTCATTGTGCAGGTTGGTGTGTGTACACTGCCATCGCCAAGTGCGCGAATCGTGACCTGTATGTACACCTGCACATACAAGTGTAGGAGCGCACCCGCTGATGAAGACGATGACTGCTAGCGTGCGGTTGTCGCGTGAGGGAGGGGGCGAGAGTCCTCGTCGAGACTCTCTGGCTCGTTGATCCCCACTCCCCACATTACACACACATATCGAGACAGAGTTGCCTACACACCGTCCGACGGGACAGTGGAGTAGACATCCGTTGCCCCCATGTTCAAGGCAGCTTGACGCGGGGTCAGACGGGGATCTCTGGACAAGGATGTGGAGTGAACCCTGCCAGGCCGCCTGCAATGGAACAAAAATCCTTGTCAAGCCGTTGGTTGGCAGAGAAAACGGTCGTGATTGATTGAGCATCAACAGTCCACTATCCCAGTTTGATGAGTTCCGGTTTCCAGGAGACGAAGGTCAACAGGTGGCACGGACAGGCGGGCAGACGGGCAAGGTCTCCTTTCCTCATGCACGTTTCCATAGTAGCACCGAAGGCGGATGAGATCAATGGGCGGGTTAATATCCTGCATATGGCTTGGCACAGCAAGTCCGACAGCGAGTCAAGGTCGATATCCAAACACATCAATCGCCCTTTGTTCTGATAAATGTGCGAGCTGCCGCGACATGTCTCGCGGTTTGTCGAGCTGTATTCTGTTGTAGTCCAGTGTAGGTTTCACCTTTCTCTCTGCCGGTAGCACCAAGACGGGATAAGAATGGGCTGTCGTGAGTAGGTACCCCATAAATACCCGAAGCGGATTCGCGTCTCTGGTGTTGAGGTCGTTTGAAAAAGCCGGGCCATCCCGTCATTGGCCATCAGCCTCTGGAGCCAAGGGAAGCCGACGAGGAGAAAGCCGCACATCCGACGTTTCTGTTTGTCCGTCCGCCCACCGCCCACCGCCCCGACCTGCGACGTGCCCAAGACGGTTTGCGGTTATGTACTGTAGTGTGTGTGGTGGACGTGTGGTGTGTGCGGTGTGCATCTGAATCGCTTCTAATTCGGCGACCCCTCTGATGGAAAACGGGTCTGACATGATGGGAGGGAAGGGAAGAGGAGAGGGAGGGAGATCTACGAAACGATACTCGTACGAAGGCCATTTCGTCTGGTTCGATTTCCACATACGTAAAATGAGCAAAAGAGGATGCGCCATGAAGTAACAACGGTTCGATGCGTGCTGTTCTATGCACTGTAGATGGATGCTAAGTAAGATGAAAGACATCCATCCGGAGATGCATAGAAAGTCTGCTTGTTGGCGAGAGGAGTTTGGGGAGTGGACGATGAACGATGTGAGTGAGCCCAGCCTGGGTATCAAAACTACTGAGACAGCCAGCCAGCCCCACATGCCATGCACCGTTTCCCCGATTCCTTCCAATTACACAGTAGTTGGTTGAAAGGAAGGAAAGAACGACGACAAAAACGACAAAAAGAGTGGGTCTGGCCGGGGATTGAACCCGGGACCTCTCGCATGCAATGTTTAGGGTGGACCCTAAGCGAGAATCATACCGCTAGACCACCAGACCGCTGGATTAGGCATTTGATCCTAACCCCATTTGATGGAAGACTGACTTCGTAGGGTCAGATATATCTGGCTGCCTCTGACCCGCCGTTCAGGTTCTGGATGCTGAGGGTCATGGACCATGGACCAAACGGACTGGGGGGACACGAGTGGCCACCTGGTACCTCCAACGTTTACCAGCGTCCCGACAACGACACGTCCACCACTTACCCGGATTCTCGACCTCTCTTCTTATGCACGCGGTCGGACGCAGGTTTCCGCATGGAGCCATGCATACCTTAGGCTTGATGAGTTGTTCAACCTGCGAATTTCCCAATACAACAAACGATACGGTGGTCACGCCCAGAATTGGACTTTTGGGTGCATCTCGCAGATCCAGTATCTGCTGGTGCGACCCGAGATATTGCAATAATTCTTCTGCAACGTCCCGCCAGGGCCTTCTTTCTGCAATTGCCGCCATTATCTCGGCTGCCGCGCATCAACTTTTTCCGATCTCGGTTTCTTGTTGTCTTGCTAGCATTCGGGTTTCCTCCTTCCCCTTCGGGTTTCCCAATGGGCTTTGCTGGTGACCAACGGCCCGAGACATGGCGACCGACATGCGCGGCGTTGATATTTATTCCCTTCCTCTCCGAGGTCGACAAGTCGCCTCGACGTTGGCGATGCCATGCCATGCCATGCGTTGTTTCAACTTATTCCACGCGACGACGGTGGCGCCGAGATGAGAGCCCGGGCTCGTATGCAAGTCACTCTGATTATTCACCGACGCTGCTGCGCGCCGATTGGGCAAAACTGAAGCAAGCCACGTTCAAGCTCAGCCCAGCCAACAAGCCACGCGGAAAAGAAGCAATTTCGTTTCAAAAAGCTTGTGCAGACTGCAGACTGCAGACCTTCAAGTCCTCGCCTCGAAAAGCTCACGAGCCTCGAAAAGGCTCAGGGATGCTCCTCATTCACCAGCCGATCCACACTCGAACACCCAGGTTTCCGACCCCCTTGTTGCAAGAAAAGTCCCCGGCTAAGACTGGGGAACCCCTGACAAACCATCCATCCACATCCCCCGTATTCTCCTTCTCTATTGGAACCCATCCCTAGGGTAGGCAATTCGTTTCGGTGTGTGTCTGTGCCATCATCGCTCTTTCACCGAGACGGTCAGCTGCCTGCTCGAGATGAAAGCCACTTGGTGCACTTACTCATAGGCCATCTCGCCAGGTATCTCCTGCCATTGACCGCGACATCTTTCGTGTTGCATCTCTGTTGCACCTCTGCAGCGCACGGCACAAGACACTGTTTGCTCCGCGCTGCCCAAACGAAGACCCGTATAGATGGTGATTTGAGCGAAAGGTGCTCTCAAGAGTCCCCGTGCGCCCCTGAATATCATTACCCCGACAACAAACGACAGTCCCAATCAGTCAGTGGCAGGGTCGCTAAGGAACCTGGGCGTGCCATGCTCCAAGCCTCCAACGTTAGCTATTTTTGGGCCGCTTCACTTCATCGACAAAAGATCTCCGCAGAACCAAGATTGCGAGGCCCCTGTCCTTGAGAGAAACATCTCAGCTTAAAAGCAGCAAGTTAGACTGATCGTCCGTGTACTCGAGCGCTCACTACCCCAAGCGTTCAACGGGCCCGTGATCTTCAGACACAGCCTCCTCCAACCCCCTAGTGTTTCCAAACAAACAAGCAGCACAAAAGGTCCAATCTAAGTAATAAAAGGTAGGTCTTCTTTACTTCAAACAGACCACAGCCCGGACTTCATGCCTCAATCTAGAAGCGGCCAACATGGCCCTTGACAACTTGCTGTAGGCAGCCATTTCCTGCAATCGGGGACGCCAACGCCGATATCGTTCATCTTGCAGCTTACACGAAGAACCGCTCAGTCCTTAATCATGCAAGGACCCGGAGCCGGTCAGTGCCTGGGGGCCAGCCCCTTTCCGGGAGCGTCCTAGAGGCCGTTTTTTTTCTTCCACATTTCGGGGCCGCCGTTGCTGAATGGCTCCGTCCGTTCCTCCTGAGCGACTTTGTCCCATATTGGGCTGTAGACTTACCAGATGGATAAAATAACTATTTATATTTATCTTCTACGTCACGCTGGGTGAGGAAAGGAGAGTTGAACACGCGTGCGCCAACTGCTGTCCGTAGCAAATACCCTTCAGGGGACTTGCGTTCATCAGCAACGATGATTACCTATGGTGATATTCGGTCGCGATCGGTGGGCATGATGTGAGTCAGTGAGTTGAAACTTTTTTTCATTGAGGTCTTGAGATGCGATATCATTTGTAGGTACTTGTCTTGAATTTTGACTGATTCTGACTACCATCGGCGCCCACCTGGCTGTATGGGGGACCTGACTAATTACCCGGTGCTTCACGTAAATCTATGGATGTCACAGGAAGTAACGTAGTGTACAGGTATTATGTGGATGATGCTGTCAAGATGAACTCATCTGGAGCCCCATCTGCTTCACATAGATCATCACCATGGACATCCAGCACCGTAGGTTTTGTGCGGTGCGTCGTTGAATCCCAGATATTGGCCCATGGCACCGGGAAAAATACACAACAAGATCCCGCCAGCCTCCTCACGTCCCAGCATCAATCACCGGCCCCTTCTCGTCAATCTTCACGAGAAGGTCAAAGTTCGCACGCAGATTCTCAGACCCGCTGAGTGACCTCGCTAACATGCTCTCGTGCCTGTCGCGTACCAGTCTCCGCAAGGCCGCCATCAGGAATCCCGCTGTCACGTCCACCGACCAGCCGTCGGGTATCAAAGAGAGGACCTCGAGGACATCAAACCAACCCCCAAAGCGCTCTAGCAGTGCCCCGGTCTGCTCGACGCGGTCGTTGAGATCGTCCAGCGCCAGGAACTCGTTCAACAGCACACGGAAGAGCCGGGTTTGCGTCTCGCGGACGGGAAGACTATCACGCCGGCCAGAGAGTGAGGACGAAGCACCACCTCGCAGACAGTATAATACAGCACTATCGTAGTCGCCTAGCAGGTGGACCAGTAAACGCAATGCGTCTTCGTGGCGTTTGGTGCGTCCATCAAGGATGATGGCTTCCGGGACCAACAGCTGTTGCTGCGCGCCTTGAGAACCTGGCCTGGTCTCTGAAAGCGCCGATAGAGAGGTGTCGATACGCTTACGAATGGCGACGGCGTCGTAGTTATGGTCGCCTCCAAGTAGCTGTAGTAAACGAAGTCGGCTTTGCCAAACTTCATCGTCGGGCGGGGCGTTATCGGTGAGAAATTGGCGATATGTGGGCTTTGGAGGACGGAGGGCTCGGTAGGCCTCGTATGATGCCGTCACAGTTGCGCGGGATGTCGGTGAAGTCTGTAAGTCGGTGATCACAATGTCCAGGTAGTAGGTAACTAAGTCGTTGACGTATGCCGTGTTGCCCTTCCCAAAGACAAGGTGCTCGAGGTAGTACTTGACAGCATCTGGTGCCTCTTCCTTTAGAATAGACACAACTTGGTTTGGTTCGAATTTCGGGGCTTTGCCCTTGTCGTCGGCGAATACTTGGACACCGAGCTTTGGATTGCGAGTCGCGAGCCAGACGCCATATTCCTGCACCAAAGACTGGCTACTGATATTGGACAGATAACCCCTGACCCGCTGCTCACCGTCACCAAGCTCACCGCCCTTGTCTTCCTCGCCTTCAATAATGCGTCTCCATGTCCCAAGGACATCCGCTGCCATCTTGCGACGCTGATACAGCCGGCTGAGAACAAAGAGGCGTCGATAGGTCTCGAGTAGATCTACCGCTCTATCGAAACAGTCAACACCATGGTCGACGAGATCGTAGAGTTCCTTCCGGATGGTGCCAGACCTCCCAAGTTGGCCCTTGGGGGTAGTCTGGTCAAGTTCCAGGAGCACCAATAAGAGGGACGCGTCCACGGTCCGGAAAACCTCGCCAGGTATACTGCCGAACCCCTTTTTCTTTCTCCAGGCAGAGAGAAAGTGCCGTAGAAATTCCAGGATATTGGGGGATAAGGAGCTGATAGATGGGATCCCCGGGCCACCGTCTTCCTTCGAGATGGAGCTCTCGACAACGGACTTGACTCCACCATAAATCCAGATGCCACTCCGATTCACGATGATCTCGTTTCTAAGTGCAGGAAGGAGCGCTAAGACGACTCTGGCGTCCAAGTCACTTTCCAGGAGACTATCCTGCATTGTTTTCGTTTCAGACTCGGTAAATGGCGGCTCAGGTGAGTCCAAGAACCTGGCGAGCAGCAAGACACTGGTTCTCTGTCTGATGTAGCCGAGGGTCATGAATTCAAGCTCCGTCTTCGCGTCTCGACCCTGGATTGTGTCCAAGACGGAAATCAGCTGCCGCCTCGTCTCGATGCCTTGCGCGGCTATTTGGCCGTCTTTAGAGACGGCTAGCTCGAGACTGGATTCCAGCTGCAGAAGCAGCGGATTCCGGACGGCCCACCATATGTCCGCGCCTGCCCACACAGCTACGCGTGAGAATGCCTTTGCAAGACTTCGGACAAAGTCTTCGCCTTCTCGATTTCTCGTGGCCTCCCAGCCAGCCGGTAGCAGTTCTTCGTCCGACTCCAGATCGCGGTCAAACAGCTCCTTCTCCCGAGACTGCCGCTCCATAGATGACGCGGTGCGGGAATCCAGACTCTTGAGAGACATGGTCGGAGTCTCGGTAATTCCCTTGAATGGCGAGAATCGTCTCTGACAGAGTCGCTCGACTACTTCCTCCACTTGCATCTCCTCGCCCTGCAGCATGGATCGAATGCCTAGGGGGGTGCTATGGGTCATTGTCTTGCTGTCGTTGGCCGAGAGCTCTAGCCAGAACTTTTCCGGCTCGCCCTCCCCTACGTTCACATCAAACCGCTGGATTTCAAGACCATAGTGCAGGCCATCTTCGAACTCCCTCGCCATGGAAGCGAGAACATAGCCCTCTTCCTCGAGGCCGAGAGACGGCCTTGATGAAGAAATATCCGGCGCACCCCCATCTGCGACAACTTCACGGGGATATCTATCGAATTCAAGGGTTG